CCTCAGCTGTTGGCGGACTACTGTTTGGAAAATCTGCTTCTCCTGACAACGTAAAATTGAATTCAGAGCCATTTCCAACAAATGCGAACCAGTCCTGTAGTAAAAAATTCAAAACATAAGTTTCCATCAGACGGAGCATGAGGTTGTAGAAAAAACTAACGGTTGCACTTTCCTACTGAAAACTAGGATTGTCATAGGAATATCTCTTACCACAGTGGTGTCTTGATGTTTTCCATCGAAGGGTAGGAACTCCCGGATGCACACCTCGAAACTTCTAAAATTCACATTTTCCAACCAAACATACATAGCATCATCTGGCTTTGTGTCACGTGTGTATTTAGATGACACAAACACGGAAGGTCTTGCGGGAAAATTCTGCGGTGTTTGAAAACCATGTTTAGGTTTTTTTTAATGTTCAGTCAATAAACCTGGGTTCGAGAGGAAATTACGCGGCAAAACAATGTTATGACTGCTGTGACCTTACCTCTCCGCCCAACTCGTCTAGCTTTTGCTATGTGCGGGTGGAGATGGCAAAATGATGTGCGTGAAATAAAGAGTTCATAAACAACGAGGGCACTAAGATTAGCAATACTACTCGCCAAATTGTCTTTTACAACGCGAGAGGATAAAACCTGAAATATATCTTCATCATTCTCTTCCATCACCACGATTTGAGTTTTGCAATCTACCAACAAAATTTTCAAGTGTAGATTACCCACTCAATTTATTATGAAAACCTGTTAAAAATGGTATTAGAGTACATTACTCAATAGATGATCAATGGATAGAAAATCCCTGCTTAAAGGTTTTGACCTTTAAATTCAGCTTTATGCTAACCTGTGAGTAGGTAACTTTTTCACACTTAGTTTCCGTTGTCCATATTCCATCAAAAATGGCGCTGCCACGAGTCATTTGTGGATGATCTTGAAAAGCCAACCAGTTGATGATTCCTGTTCCATTTGATCCATTGCCTGACTCACGTGCACACACCTCGAAGCCGCGTGCAGTAACAGATTGAACCCAGACGGCTGAAGGTGAGTGGACACGTGAGAACTTCTCACCATGACTCATCGTCACGTGAACGTTAATCTGTAATTTTAAAGCTAAAGCGCTTTAGAGATTACGCTAAAGAAAATTCATATTTAATGACTATTGTTGAGACGACTGGTAAACAATCTCAATCACGGCACGACCCATCTTTTTTCTATTACTTTCTCCACATTCTTTTTTTTAGGCAAGTAACTGAGAAGTAGCCTTACTATCTTCTTCCTTATCACAGGTTTGTTTTGCATTTTCATGTATTCTTGTTTATTGACTTTGAGTACGTGATTATCATTTTTGGAACGTTTTAGTGGCTCCTGTCCCAAGCGATGTAATCTCCATTTCCCAAGTTTTTTTATTCCTGGATTGCTCCTCTTAGCTTGCGGGATCGGGCCTTGAAGTTCGCGGTAAGTCAGCTAGCATCAAAGATGGTTCCATTGCTGTCGAAGAAAGAATTAGAAGAAGTAACGAAAAAAAAACCGACCTCATAATTCAAGACATGAGGCTGGAGATTACTAGTGAAATAAGAAGCTTAATGCTATTCAAAGGA